TAACTCATCCATCCCATCTAACAACTTAGTAGCCACCAGCAATTGCCCTGTGCTTCATCTCAGTCAAACGCAGTGCACCTGAACAGTTCCAGTTCACGCGATTCACTCCTGGACAGGTGCACTTTGACCTAAGTCATTCGAGCACCAGGAAAGCATCAGCTGATCCGGAGATCATCCCAGTTATGAAAGGCCTAGCCGATCTTCTCTGTGAGTCCCTTGCATATTTGCATAACAGGGGCATCTCAACAGGAACGTTTCAGAGTGCCTGGAAAACAGCAATTGTGAAGCCTCTGTTCAAAGGCAAAGGTAATCAGTCCTCGTGCAATAAATACCGCCCCATTTCCCTTCTGTGCCCTATAACTCGTCCTTTCGAAAAACGCCTCTCTGAAAGCTTTATAAAAACTCAGATGTTGAGCCAATAGTAATGTGTAAAGAGAAAAGGACCTATAAGTTACTAGTTATGACTAACAGTCCACCAAGGTAACGAGATAATATACAGTCAGAAGTGCGACAAGGCACAACATATCTCAATATCCTTGTCAGTTTTGCTATCTTTAACTTAAAGTGCTATTTGGTCAATGCTCTGATCGCCAAATATGAGCCGTGATTAGCAAAAACAGACCTATAGGTCAAATTTTTCAAAACGGTTTTTTTGCTGGAAATTGTGTATACAAACAAACAATTTCCAGCAAAAACCATTTTTGAAAAATTTGACCTATAGGTGTCTGTTTTGCTGATCATGGCTCACAATGTAGTCGGCGTCACTACAACGTAGCGCTATCTTTTAAAGTGCTATTTTGTCAATGGGTAAAGGGGTGCTCGGTAGACCGAAGTGCCCGTGACATGGGGTCCGGGTAACCGATGTATGAGTGTAGTACAGTCAGACCTCGCTTAACCGCACACATCCGTTTTCCATGAAAAATATCCGGATAGGCGAGGGAACCGGATAATCGAACACATAACACATAACACTATATGTATGCATGGCGTATGCTGGAAATCTGTAACCAACGATTTTCTTCCGGATGGCGAGGGATCCGGATAAAAGAGGACCGGATAAAAGAGGACGGGATAAGCGCGGTCTGACTGTAGCAGCATAAATCCTAAACCTGGGTTACATGTACAGTGTACTATCAACTGCGGGTATACACAACATGACATGGCGTACCTGTAAGTGAATGATATCTGCCCGCACAAATGCTTCATCTGTCAGTAGATCCTTGAAATGCTTCCGCTTGATATTGAGCTGCTCCACAGCCTACACAAGACCACGTACAAACATACCAATACTCATGTACAGTGCTGCTCAGTGGCCACAGGTCTAGGGCTGCTGCCCAGCGCCTGATGTGAAACTGACTTGCATAATCAGACTTCGGGAGCACTGTAGGTGCACACACTTTTCCTGCAACAGCAGCGGCAGCAGCCGCAGCAGCAGCAGCCGCAGCAGCAGCAGCCGCAGCAGCAGCAGCCGCAGCAGCAGCAGCCGCAGCAGCAGCAGCCGTAGCAGCAGCAACAGCAGCCGCAGCAACAGCAACAGCCGTAGCAACAACAGCAGCAACAGCAGCAGCAACAGCAGCAGCAGGAGCAACAGCAACAGCAGCAGCAGCAGCAGCAACAGCAGCAGCAGCAACAACAGCAGCAGCAGCAGCAGCAACAGCAGCAGCAATACACACACACAACAACAGCAGCACCGGCAGCAGCAGCAACAGCAAAAACAGCAGCAACAGCAGCAGCAGCAACAGCAGCAGCAACAACAGCAGCAGCAGCAACAGCAACAGCAGCAGCAGCGGCAGCAGCAGCAGAAACAGCAGCAACAGCAGCCGCAGCAACAGCAACAGCCGTAGCAACAGCCGTAGCAACAACAGCAGCAACAATAGCAGCAGCAGCAGCAACAGCAGCAGCAGCAGCAGCAGCAGCAACAGCAATACACACACACAGCAACAGCAGCAGCAGCAACGGCAGCAGCAGCAGCAACTGCAACAGCAACAGCAGCAGCAGCAGCAGGAACACAGAAAGCCGGAATTACCATACTTACTTCCATGGAAAATACATTTCCAGTTGTCTTCACAGCAACAATGTGTGTATTTTCATTGAAAACTTTGAACATAACCGGACAATGGTACTTCCCTAGCCAAGTGAACAGAGAAATACACACACACACACGCACGCGTGCACATACACACACACACACACACACACACACACACACACACACACACACACACACAACCAGGAGACAATGTACACACACGTGAAAGAAAATCAGCAAAACAAATCCAAAATGAGAAAGTTGCACACCGGAAAGGAAAGTACTGCATCAGGAATAATGTGGTGGTGATCATGATCCCCCTGGCCTGTTGCAAGTCCATACTGCAAACATACACGCTCCCTATCTCCAATGCTTGGCTTCGAGAGAGTATTGCTAAGTCTAAGCTCAAACAAGTCTCGCAAGGAGAATCTCCAATGTTCAACTGGTGCTCTAGAATGACAAGAATGGCAGATAGACTGATGCTCAAAAGAAGAGGCTCTGGCCGAACGTGCAAACTCCACACACACACATACAAACATAATTGCACGCAAAGCAGCAATAGCAAGCACTAACACCGAAGTCTGATGACAAAATAAACTATAGCGATGCTCAATGAAATCCAGTCGCGTCACTCAAGTTTGCGCCTTGCATCATTTCGCAGCCCAGCGTTCGCAGGTCTATGGCTGTGCAACACCCGGCGCGTACTTGAGAGACGCGACAGGAGTTCATTGAGCAGTACAATATAAAGTGGAGCTGCAGGGCATAGGAGCACGTGTGAGATTCATCGCGAACATGTTTGAACGGCGCCAGTACACGTGCTATGCCATAGCAGTTCATGAGATTCTACACACGTCACTTTTAAAATCACGTGAACTGTCAAGTAACATTGGTTGTCAAGCGGTTGTGAACTATCACTCATTAGAAGGTGCCATTCCCAGCCATACCTCATGTGATTCTAAACTCATCACCTATATATAATTATAAATCATCTGATCTATCACGCAACGTTGGTTGTCAAGTTGTTGTGAACTATCAAGTTCATTAGAACTTAGAAGGCGCCAGCACTATGCCACAGCTCATGAGATGCTAAATGCATCCCGAATCGCCTAATGTATCGTCTAAGCATGTGAACTATCAGTTTGTCAAGTTAGTTGTTGTGAACCACTAGAAACATGGCTATGATACAGCAACATGTAAGCGAGCACAAACACGCACGCACACACACACACCTCAGACCTCAGACCTGCCCATCGCGGAAGCGATGACAGCGAATAGCTATGTTAGACATAGCAACTTGTGCTGGGATTACACCATTCAACAGCTTGCAAGGCTGATGAATTGACCGCCACTAATTTTTAGCCTGGTATCCACCACACAGCTGACACACACACACACACACACACACACACACACACACACACACACACACACACACACACGCGCGCGCGCACACGCACACACTACAGGTCACACATACCCTCTGCGTTCTTGTGGAAGTTGAGACGAATCAGCGATTTGGAATCCAAGCGCTACAAACAACATAAGCGGAGCAGCAGCAGCAGCAGAAATCGAGAGAGCAGAACTAATGTCACTTCTCTCGGTTTTACGTCACAGTATAAGAATTAGCAGAGAAGTAGTGTTCTCTGTCCACCCGGGAACGGGTACGAGTGAACACGGTGTGGGATAAAAGGGGGTGACGAGTGTGTGTGCACGCGCGCACGCCCACACACACACACACACACACACACACACCATCAGAAACCCATGCACATGCAAGCAAATGTGCTTGCTTTCAAACCATGGAGGAATATGCTCACAACTCACCTCCCCGTTGACTGGGTTGCGGCCGAATTTCTTCAAGTACGGTACAATGTTCCTGAATGTACACATGCATGCAAGCACGCACGCACACACAGACACACACACACAGACACGGACACACAGGCACGGAAACACACACGGACACACACACACACACACGCGGACACACATACACACACGGACACACACGCACACACACACCGGACACAAACACACACACACACACACACACACACACACACACAGACCTTCGTGTAAGAAAAATCCAGGAGAGTGAACAATCACTCTCGCTATCCTCCCAAGGAGAGTGGTGGGAGAGCAGTCCCCACCCCCACCCCCAAAAAGTCGCTCGCCTTATCTATCCAAGGCGAGCAAAGTACGGGTTTTTTTTCAACATCTTGCCATACCCCAATCGGATTCAATACCCAATAGCTGCCAAATAGTGATTCCAAGGCTCTTGTACGGGCAAAATAAACACAAGTGCAAGGTCAACAGCTTTATACCAAGAGAAAATGAGCTGAAATGGCTGTGAAAACAGTCTTATACGGAGGAAGCTACAATGGCTGTGGAAACAGTCCAATAAATAGCTGCCAAATTCATTCTGGAAAATCGCCGTACGCACTACAACTTTAGTTTCCCTTCATCAGGGACAATGGCACACGCAATGGGAAATTGAGACAATTCGCTAAGATCCATGATATTTTTGTAGTATTCATCGTAGAGCGCTCCTTTGAGGCTTTGTTCTGTAGCTGACAGCTAAAGACCTGTGCCTGGCGTCACACGTACACAGGTCTATGCATGCCCGGAGTGTCACGCAACAGAGGCCAGAGGGAAATCCTTTATGTCAAAATTATGTGTGCGGAAGTGAAAATTTGCAACGGTACGTAAAATACCTTGCGAGTGCCGTAACTCCACTATTGGACCTCGGATCGACTTCCGATTTGTTGGAGCTGACAGCTGAGAACTTTCTAATGCGAATAGATCTTTTGATTACTCGATTCCGTTCAGGGAAAGCCGAGTTACGAAATATTTGAGTGTTTTCAGAAGTTCATAGTGATGCGGATGCGCTCGAAATTCTCAAGGCGCGCGACGAAAAGTGCGCCCTAAAAGAAAATAAGGGGGAGCGGAGGCGCGCGAGAGCGATCGCTCTCCTTTTACCAGATGGTCTGCACACACACACACATGAGGAGCGGCCTTCATCTAACAGGCATGCCATAACAGTGCTCTTCCCGATCAGAACACAATTACAGTGTTGCCACATCATTTTAGCCAAAGATATCAGAAGGATTAAAAAATTCAATGCGTCATCCGGGGACTTCGCCCCGGACCTCATCACGGTAACCCTGGCATACAAATGCACAAAAAAGCCACTGAAATTACGATTCTGCGTGAAACTCAGATCGATTTTTCCGACTTTTCCCCAGACAGAATAATGATTTCGCTTAGCACCTTAGGAGAGAGCTATGGACACTTGTGATGATCAGTAAAAGCAAACATCTGGATCGGGGTTTCTAATTTAGTTGTGGCTGTTGTCGGCAGGAGAAGGTCAATTGCCGGCAGGTCGTAACATGCCTCCAAAATCAGTAGGCTACTGACATGCCGGCAGGTGCGGCAACACAGCAATTACACTCAGCAAGGCGATCAACTTCAGGCTTAGCACAGCCAGCACTGCACATATACCAGTCAGTACTTTCGCTGCCTTTAAAAGTGGCATTGGGGTCAACGGCCTTTCACTATGCTTAGTGCATGTCATGTACAGAACTTGTTGCTCCTCTCTTGCCTGCTATCAAGCTGATGAGAAGGTAGTGGCAGCAAACGTCTACTCTACTTTAGCTCCCTGCATGCCCCCCCCCCCCCCCCCCCGACACCCTCTACATGACGATTGTATAGTGTAAAGATAACCAATCAGCACAGACGCGCTGGGTCTTTGTGTGCCCAGGTCTAAGCGTCATTACAGGTGTGTGTGTGTGGGGGGGGGGGGGGGGGGGGGGGGGGGGTCGTGTTTCGTCCAAGTAAATGGATGACTGGTCACTTTAATCTTTTATTCTCACGATGGCCTGTGGCCAATAAGAGAATCTTAACACAGCTACCCTTTACATGCAGTGAACTGCGCCGACACCCACGGTCAACTGGGTACTCACTACTCAGAGTGAGGGTAACATGGATGCAGCTAACGAGGTTAGCCCCCTTGTCGGGCATTGGTGGTGAGACTTACCACCTCACCCTCGCCGTTAGGCGCTGCATCTGCCACCCTGGTAGCACAGGCATGGTGGTGGCCGGGCACATGCGAAACTTCCTAAGCTGGTTGTGTTTCTCAACGCAATTGTATAGCCGGTGGTAACGCGGACGTGCAAACTTTACTTTTAACACAGCTATCGTGTAGTACCAGTGCTATCATACGTGTGGAGAGTGCGCATGGTCAAGAGCCTCACGGTTAAAGTATAGCTGGGTACATATCATAAGTGGTCATCTGTAAATACCGATATTTATTTAGAAACGAAAACTAGTCATTCCTCTTCAACCCCGCTCCCTCAGAAATGAACACATACAAACGATGCATAGTATCGATACTTTTTCCTTTTCTTTTCTGGACGTGCCCACACATACAAACTGTGCATCGATATTTTTTCGAGAAACGACCAGGCGCTCAACCCCCTCTCTCCTAAACGACTACAAGTAGTTTTCGTTTCTAAATAAATATCGTATATTATTTTACGGATGGCCCCTAACATGACTGTGATACAGGGTGAGCATGCATGAGAGCGGGAACACACAACAGTACTCACAACAGGTCAAAGACGACACCTTCCGCAGTGCAGTACGGGTTGTCAGTCGGCTGCAGCGATAAACTGAATGTCGAGAGCACAAAACGACAAGCAGGACAATGATCAAGTATGAGTACGTGTATACAAACACGAATACATGTACGCATGCACGCACACACATACACACACGGGTGTGTGTGTACACACGCATGCACACACGCACACTCACAGACAAGTGCAAGTTTATCCATGTGCATGAGCCCACAGTAGACCATTGGAGGGGGGGGGGGGGAGGGAAGTTCTGCGCCAAGTTTTGGCATAGAAACATACAGAAAAAAGGATTCTGGCCAAGGCACAGCCCTCCCCCACTCTGATTGAGTGTCCTCCTGTGAGAAAGTGCCCCCCCCCCCCCACACACCTCTCCCCTACTCATTTGTCGATTTTTTGCGTTTTTCCATGCCATTCAACAAAAATGCAGCCGATAGTCAGTCAGTGACAGATGGTTTACAAAGACACACTTCGATGGCGCCCCCGTACGTTGCATTTCGCCGCGCCAGGTCGGCCAGTTGTGGCGATGGCGAAAACAAGTTTCAAGTGGCACAACGAACCTGGTCGTTAGCGTAGAGATTGCCCAACTGCAGGCCGCAAGAGTCGGCTGCAGTTGGGCGGTGCACGTGATGCAGGTGGCTCAGCTCGTAGTCATAGTGCTCAAGGTGATCGTGACTCGACGGGCCCACAGTGCTTCCGTTGCCACGAGTTCGGCCACATTCGACCAAACTGCCCCGAAGCGCAAACAGGCAAACGGAGTGGGGCAAGAAAAGCGACAGTGCGGCTGTCGCGGTATCACGTGAGGATGTGACGGAATATAGCGTGGAACATGAACCAGCCACATATACTGTGCCCGTCACACGTGAGTGATACGACCAGTTCTCTTGTTTCTGTCATCGTATGTGTTGAGCATGACGAGTCGAACGGCAGTATGGTCCCGGCTATCATTGGCACTGGCTGTACTCGTTCCTTGATCACTCAGCGTGCACTGACCTATAATCATGGGTGCAGCAGATTAGCTTGTGCCTACCACTGATAACGTGTGTGCGGCATAGATGGACAACCGTTGCAGTCTGCGTGCACTGACCTATATACATGTAGGTGAAGCAGATTAGCTTGAGCCTGCTACTGATAGTATGCCTGGCATACTAGTTGATGGACAGCCGTTGCAGTCTGTTGCTACAGTCACCTTGACCACCATCTGCCAGTGTGACAACGTCCTCACCGTGCCCAGGGTGTCTGTGTGCTTTCTGGTCGTGACCCAGCATGATGGCGGTGTTGAGGAGGACATGATTATCGGCAATGATGTGATCAGTGCTGTTGGTGGCATGGCACTGAAGTGCGATCGTAGACGTATGACGTCCGTTGTCATTGGCTCCACGCCTACCCAAATTGCGGCTGTGGTCGACAGTTCTCCTACCCCCGAAATGATCTCGCCATGTTAACATCGATAAAGCTGAGAATGGTGATGTGTCCTTGAGTAAGTACCAGGGACTTTCAAGGACTAGTGGAGTGAGGCAGACAAGAATTGGACATTGACATGACAGTGTGGGTAGGCGGCACAGAATCGACAGGGAAAATTGGCCCCAACGTCAGTAAGTACTCCCGAAGTAAACTGTCTGCTGACCAGGCAGCACAGTTCCATAAGGAGGTGGCAACTTGGCCGGAAAAGGGGTTCCTTGTGCCATTTGACCCAGAGAAACACGCAGCTTGGCTGGAAAAGGGCTTCCTTGTGCCGTTCCACCCAGAGAAACATGCAGAGCCTGCTGCTACTGTGATGCCGCTGATGGCTGTTGGCCAGGAGCACAAGCCAAGCACTCCTGTACGGCCTTATCTTGATTACCGTCAGCTCAGCAAATACATGCTGTCTCATCCCGGTGCGACTGCTCCAGCTTGTGACCACACGATCCGCGAGTGGAGGTCTCGCGGCATCAACTGCGCTGTGCTTGATGTCAGCAAGGCATGCTTGCAGGTACGCCTCTACCCGTCGCTACCGCGATACCAGACAGCCATGTATGGCGGCCAGCGGTATGTGACGACCAGAATGGGTTTTGGTCTGAACGCTGCCCCGAAGGTGATGGATGCAATCGTAAAAATTCACTACAGCTGACTTCGTGACAACCGACAACTACTTCGAAGTACTGTAATTTTACAAATTTTCGGTGTACTTTTATTTTCGGTACTTTCGGTGCATCTGTTTCATACCTAATATTTCAATACACCGGACAAATACTAACACACATAATCCAATAGGGAACTGCTTCTCTGTGCCTAAAATTTCTGTTCACCTAACCTGGCCTTTTGCCCTCATACCGAAAATATTGAGCACCGAAAATTTCTGAAATTAGAGTACATTGACGATCTTCCAGTGCCTGATGACGAGCGCGACCCGGCGGCACTTCAGTAGCTACATCGAATTACGGGGTCACCCCCCCCCCCCCCCCCCCCCCCCCATTACTATTTTGACCCGGCTAGAACCCTGGGAAAGTACTGCTTGTCTTGTAGTTTGCAACAGGTGTGAGTACAACATGTTCTAACAAAATGTAATTTTATCAGGTGTTTGCTTGATCAGGTTGCACTTGTATGCATGAACAGGACCAAGGTACACCGCAGAGGTTCCACTTGCGCGTACATGTAGGGATGACAGAGGCGTCGGAAGGTATTCAATATTGGTGCGGCCATGCCTTGGAATAGGTGGGGGTCGGGGGCCCTCACTCGAGAAAAATTGGAAAGTTAGGCCCCAAATAGCCCATATTTTATTGCTTCAAAAACCACAATGTGAAATTATAAAAGCCGCACCGGTTCTGACGGCCCTGGGTGAACAAGACTAGCGTACAGGACCAAGCTACAGGACAAAGCCACATCCTAGAGGTTCCACAGTCTTGCTTGTATGCATGAACAGGACCAAAGCTACACTCTAGCTAACATTACCTGCAGCAGTCAAAGGGAAGTCGACGAAACGACGCATTCTTGCCTTGATCGCCAGCAGCTGAAACGTACAGAAAAGAGGACAATTCACACAACTGGTTAACAAAGGACAAGGATGAGGACGGCAGTATTGACAGTCTTGTCAGGCTGTAAGCAGCAGTACGACGAGTACCAGCAGCAGCATGACCACAACCACATCCACAGCTACACCAGCCACAGCTACACCAGCCACATCAGCACCATGCCTGCCAGCACTGCCACCACGAACACCGCCATCACCATCACCATCACCATCAACACCGCCACCACATCCATCACCGGCCCCAGCAGAAATAGGCCACCACCAACGCCAGGCCCAGCAACAGCCATCGCCAACTCTATCATCATCAAAAGCCAGCAGCCACGGCCAACACCATCCTCAGAACCAGCAGCGGCAGCATCGGCGGCGGCAGCAGCAGCAATGCCAGCAGCGATAGCAGCAGCAACAGCAACAGCAGCAGCAGCAGCAGCAGCAGCAGCAACAGGAGCAGCAACAGCAGCAACAGCAGCAGCAACAGCAGCGATAGCAGCAGCAGCAACAGCAGCAGCAGCAACGACAGCAGCAGCAGCAACGACAGCAGCAGCAGCAATAGCAGCGATGGCAGCAGCAGCAACAGCAGGAGTACAGGAGTATTGCCGGCAGTGGTGCTCGTCGTAGCAAAAAAAAACCCAGTGTGCTGTTGCTGCCGCTACCACTACCAACACAATATCATCAGCGGCTATAGCATAATGATTACACGAAGTTACGATGGCATTACGGAATCAATAGTGATCGTAGATACCTCGCAAGCATTCAGCATAGTGCGGTGGTTCAAAGCTAAACTCACTCAACCCTCCCTAATCCCGTCATCTCCCTTTACTGGACAACTGTCTAGGACTAGCAAGTGGTCTTTGTTAGTGAACACCCTTTGGTCACAACGTGCCCGTGCTAAGAGAGCGTTGAGTGTGTCTGCAAACACATGATTAAGATGTGGTACGCTATACACGGATGCATGTACAGCAATACAAAGTCACAGACGTAGGCGTGTGACTTTGTATTGCTGTACACAGCAGTCTGTAGGCATGTGACTGCTGTCTTGTCGTACACAAAGTCACAGACCTAGCCCTGTGACTCTCTGTAGTGCTGTACAGCAATGCAGTGTCCCAGAGACCTAGTCCTGTGATTCAGTATTGCTGTACAGCAATGCAGTGTCTCACAGACCTAGGCCTGTGACAGCTGTGATGCTGTACAGCAATGCAGTGTCCCATAGGTCTAGGCCTGTGACTGATGTGATTGCTGTACAGCAATGCAGTGTCCCATAGGTCTAGGCCCGTGACTGATGTGACTGCTGTACAGCAATGCAGTGTCTCACAGGTCTAGGCCTGTGACTGATGTGATTGCTGTACAGCAATGCAGTGTCCCATAGGTCTAGGCCCGTGACTGATGTGACTGCTGTACAGCAATGCAGTGTCTCACAGGTCTAGGCATGTGACTGATGTGATTGCTGTACAGCAATGCAGTGTCTCACAGGTCTTGGCCTGTGACTGATGTGACTGCTGTACAGCAATGCAGTGTCTCACAGGTCTAGGCCTGTGACTGATGTGATTGCTGTACAGCAATGCAGTGTCTCACAGGTCTTGGCCTGTGAGACACCGCATTGCTGTACAGCAGTCACACACTACAGTAGGCCTGCTCACTCACTCACCCGCTTTCTTGCCACCGAATAGCGTACTCCACTCCGTGGTGGTCAAGTACCTGTTGGCAGGCAGCACATAGGACATACAGCATTCCATTACATCATTCCATGACATCACCACACCCTACATGATGTCACACATGCCCTTGTACTGTTGTATTACTACAGTACTGTCGGCCGCTGAAGAACGGCCAGGCTAGAATTTCACCCATTTTTAAGAACAGTCTAGGCTGGAATTTTTGCAGAAAAGAACGGAAACCGTAATGTACACTATAATGTACACTCAGACGTATAACTCTGCATAGATGTACATGTAAGACCGTACCATCGAATAAGAACGAAACCGCTGTGCTCGCTAAAAATAAGAACGGGCTAGGCTGGAACCCTGACCCCCCAGTTCTTCGGCGCTCGACAGTACTGTATATTCAGCCACGCATGGGACCCCGTACAGGCTGGATAAGAATACAAATTACACCAGCATGTGACACGAGTGGCCCCCCATACACCCACCAATCCAAAAAGCCAACAGAGAGTGAATCCAAAGAATCCAAAAGTACTAAGTAAAGTAAAAAGTAAATTATCATGTCCGTTCCCGAAGGGCCTAGGGAACTAACTCACCACGGCCACTAACGCCCGGTAAACCCACAACAAAGTAGTAATCTTACACAAAATTACTACTACCCAGTCGTGCTTGAAGCCACCCCACCATCACTTTCAAGTCCTGACGATTCCTTGAATAAGGATCGTCTGCGGAGCTGCCCTCGGCCTCGAGGGACACAAATTTAGTGGAGAGCAGGACTAGTGGAGACAAGTTGTGCACGAATTTCACACAACAGTGTATTTTTGCCGCCAGCATCACGGGCCTGAGGGGCAGCACTGACGCTACATTGTAGTCCTTTTGGCTGAAGATCAAGAAGGAGACAAACCAGGGAGCCCCTCTGACTCCACGCACCAGTGTTCGACTCCGTGTTTGTTCCGGTGTTCCGTATCCGCTTCAGTGCACAGCACAGCACACACCCTGCATGCTCTACACTCAGATTCTAATTTGTTCACGAGATCTCAGGGGCAGCGCGGCAAACTGTCCACATGTACATGGTCTGTACACCGAGTACTGTACTACGAGCATGCACGAGCAGAAGCATCATTGGCATCATAGCACACCACACAGGCACACACCATACCCGGCCGTGGACAAAACCTGCTGCTACGCCTAACCCTGTGGAGACATACTGCTATGCCCGACCCTGGACAGACTTGCTACTGTGCATATAGCAAGTACACACGAGAAATTGCTGAGGGCCTGTCAGTTCTCTATGCCACCCATGTACATTCCTTGTGCTTCTAAGAGCATACTCCCATGCAGTGCATTGTGATGAGTTTAGTTTCCAAACCGATAAGAAATAAACACGTACATCTTGTCCTTCTGATGCTGTTTCTTCCCCATCGTGTAGGATTTTCCACTGCAGCAACGCTTGAAAACACTACGCTATACGCCACTGGTGCAGCTGCCCTCTGCTTCAATACTTTCGCAGCTCCAACACGATTGTGAGGTTCAATTTAAAAAAAAACTAGTGTGTGATTATCGTTTCAAAATTCAGAAAAATCAAAATTCTGGACAGTCACCGAGCCGGCTCGCCAGGCCAGGAGGCACAACGTCTGCATTAGCAGTTGGGGTCAAGGCAATACTTTGAATTTCGCAAAGGAAAACTCGGCACGAAAAGGCCAAGTGGTGCGGATCTAAGCTCTATCAAACTCAAAGGTGGCTGCGGGTTGGTCTAACAAGTAACATGTTGTTTGAAACAATGAAATAATTCGAAAAATGCTTTTCGGGATTTCTCACTACAAATCTTCGCTTGAAGTCGATGACAACATCTTCATCTCATTGACAAGTGGCATGACGTAACTGATGTTTCAAAGCGCTAGCGCAGCTGAAAGCTCGAAATCTTCCGCGAAATCGGTGAAAATCTCAACATGGCATGTATGCTGGGTTTTCAACTTTTCACGGATCCTGCATGCATGACAGCCCGTGACGCGTGTACGTGTACGGTACCGGCCAGGGAGTCGTAAAAGCCCGGGAGAGGACACGGCACACATTCCCAGAAAACATCTTTGCCTCGCGCTGCCGGGGAACGCTGCCAGGGAACGGTGTTGCGAGGCAAGGAAATTATTATTTTCGAAAATTGTGATGTCTTCTTGAAATACTAATTGGGACATTCTCCGATTTCTCTTAGAGCACGGAGACGATTGCTCCGTCGAGTCTTCTGATCTCTATTTTCATCCTCATCTTCCAGCTGCCTCACTCATTCTCTCTCAGTTTATCGAAGTTAATTTATTCTGAGGCGATGGAAATGCAAGACAAATCCCTAATTGTACTTCACTTTTATTTGAGTTGGGGTGAACGAAATGAGATTTGTGGAAAATGACGCCACTTCCCGTGTTAGCCGCTGGTCGTATCATACAGCCCATATTCCATTGCAGGTGATGGGCCAACGTTCGTGTTGAGATCCGCTGAGTTTCCTCGTACTCGTGGAGTTGAATTTGTGGCAGAAATTGCACTGAATTGCAGTCAAATGGTTGTGAATGAAACGAGATTTGTGGAAAATGACGCCACTTCCCGTGTTAGCCGCTGGTCGTAGCATACAGCCCATATTCCATTGCAGGTGATGGGCCAACGTTCGTGTTGAGATCCGCTGAGTTTCCTCGTACTCGTGGAGTTGAATTTGTGGCAGAAATTGCACTGAATTGCAGTCAAATGGTTGTGAATGAAACGAGATTTGTGGAAAATGACGCCACTTCCCGTGTTAGCCGCTGGTCGTATCATACAGCCCATATTCCATTGCAGGTGATGGGCCAACGTTCGTGTTGAGATCCGCTGAGTTTCCTCGTACTCGTGGAGTTGAATTTGTGGCAGAAATTGCACTGAATTGCAGTCAAATGGTTGTGAATGAAACGAGATTTGTGGAAAATGACGCCACTTCCCGTGTTAGCCGCTGGTCGTAGCATACAGCCCATATTCCATTGCAGGTGATGGGCGAAAGTTCTTGTGGAGATCCGCTGAGCTTCCTCGGCGTACTCGTGGATTTATGAATTTGTGTCAGAAATTGCAGTCGAGTGGACTTCTGTGCGTGTGTTGTGAGTAAATCGCGACGGCTCCCTTCCTTCAGCATCGTCAAAACGCAACATAGAGCATTATTACGCACTCGTTCCATGATTCATGATAATGCCTGGATTCTTTTAAAAACAATCAATGTGTGTTCCCTATCTATCTACATTGTACATGGTTGCAGGTCGTTATTTATAAATCTTGATAATTTCAACACTTTTCTACTCGTATACTGAGTACGCGGTGACTTGAGCCGTTTAAGAAACGGAAGTCTTGGCGAGTGTACAAAAGGTAAACCTATCATTTGTACTTCATAACGGAATTGTGCACAAAAATGCACACACACGTTCGCGCGCACACACACAAGCACACACACAAACACTGTACAAACACACACAAAAGTACAAGCACATGTGCACATACACACGCCTCCCCCCCCCCCCCCCCCCACACACACACACACACACTCAACTCCCCACCCCTGTACTGAGTCTGACAGACATACAATCATGTTTATCCTTCCTTCGCCACCAGTTTCGGATAATGGTGTCAACAACGAGTTGTAAAATATTGGTATTTTAGGACTCCCTGCCCTGAAGACAAGCACAGCGCCGTGGATCGAGCAGATCCGGCCGCGCCGGCCTAGCGTGCTTCACTTTCTGGCCGAGGCAAACATCGTCCGCGTGCGCGCATCCCGTGTCCTCTCCCGGGCTTTTACGACTCCCTGGTACCGGCCATGCGCATATGCATGTGGGTACCGTACACATGGTACAGTCCCGTACATATGCCGTAAACTTTTTGGTTTCTTTTGGAGAAAGAGAGTTTGCGGGAAATTCGAAAGAGAGAGAAATCAAGAAAGAGAAAGAGATGGAAAAATTGAACATTTCAAATCCCGGCATTAGGCATTTCTTTATCTTCCTCTTTTTGCAATGGTTGCTCACCTCTTTGATCAACTTTTTGATGTTGAAGTTCGCTAAAAGATTGTCTGGAAGCAGAACGATGGGCTCCGAATTGCAAGATCGTTTCCGTGGATGCATGCTCGGCGGACTGGCTGGTGATTGCCTTGGCGCACGATTCGAGGGTGCCTATTGGGGCAAAGTGGTCGATCGTGATGCGGTCGCCAGGTTGGTCAGCGAGATGACGAACCCGGAGGCGAAGAGTGCTGCTGGACGCTCCAAGGCCCTAGTTGTACGGAGATACACGGACGATACAAGCATGGCATTCACGCTGGCACGCTCTCTGCTGGAGAACGATGGCTACCGAGAGCGGTACTTAGCAAAAAGGTAGTACACAATATCTGCAACTAGTCTGTAGTGTGTGTATGCACACCAGGGGCGTCGGAAGGTATTTTAATGTGGTACGGTCAGCCATATGAAGTACAATTTACTCGTGGGGGACGGGTGGCTGAGCCGAAAATTTAGGAAATTTAGAGCCCAAATCAGTGCATTTTATTGATTCACGGTGTACTAGGGGCAAATAGTGGTACGGTCAATACCGTAGTGACCGTACCGTGTGCGACGCCCCTGCACCCATACATGCGTGTCTGTAATACTGCGCCAACAGACCATGTAAAAAGGGGGGGGGGGGAGGGGCGAACCTGGCCCCATGGACTATAGTATACAATGTATATTGTAGAAAGGAAAGTTGCGTTCATGCACGGCCCAGTGTTAGATTGGGGACGCACAGCTCAGTTATGGGTGCATGTAAGACTCGTATACTCCCAAGGCAATCGCATTGCACACACACCGTAGCAATAATCCAGAGCCCTTGGCCAGTTTTACTTAGTTGGGCAAAGCGAACTAAGGAGGTGCCGAGGGTACAGTAGAGTCGCGAGCTGAAGAACATGGCGCCTAAGAACGTCCAGGCTGAAATACTAAGAACGCCACAGCCTGAAGCCAAGAACGGCGGTGTTGGTTTTCTGGCAGCTCAGTTTGGGATAGACATGATCCAGTACTGTTTGTTTCTAAGAACGTATCCAGATTGCTGAAAAATAGAACATCCCAGGGTAACCCCTTGGAAACAACGTTCTTGGGCGCGCAGCTACTATAGGTATTCTGTCTCTAATATTATGCTATCGAAGTCGACTTGTTGTGGGTTTGGTGAACGAGAGCGTATACTGCGGCGTGGAGTTTGAAATTTTATTCCGGAGTACGCCCAAGGACATGTTGAAATTCACTTCGCGCATAAGGACACTTTTCTGATGCCCCGCCCAGTGTCGTTATGCAAAGTTGACTGTAGTACGGCGCAGTCGCCCAGTTTCGGTGGAAGTGCGCGAGTTCGATTGGGAATAAAGGAGGAACAGAGCGTCTCAGCTTCCTCGGACCAAGACTATTCGACTCGGCACCCCGAAGAATACAACTGGTGAAGATTTGATTTTAGGCAGGGGTGAAAGTTGGCACTGAGATCCCGAGTTCGAGTACTCTGATTTTCTCCGATCGAATATTCGAGTATTCGAGCATTCTTCATCTCCTAATAATTGCACACCAAGGGCCTTAAAATCGCATGATACAACCCTGATTGAACCGAGTAGCAGTCATTTTTGTCGGGTATATTGGTTGGTGGGTCATTTGGGCTCTCTCTACTCGTGAACAAATGTTCACCACACAGTCTGCACATCAATATCTGCTGACGGCTGGTCTGAAACTGCAGATTTCTGTGGTAGATACTTGTACCATGTAGGAACGAGTACTCTGATTTATTCCGAGTACAATTATTTTTGAAAAAACGAGCGAGTACTCGAGTACAGGTATTCGGTATAATTGTTTCACCCTTAATTTTAGGCTTAACTTCCCCTTTTTTAAATTATTTTTATCAGACTACTTAGACGACTTACTTGATCAAAATGCTGAATTTAGGGTGAAATCCATTTTTTCAAATTTTTTGGATTTTAGAATCTGGGTCATGTTTACCCTGGCCAAAATCTGTGATACCTACAATGTGTTAAGATGAAATTGCAGCTTCTGTATGCTATCCTTCGCTGTGCCAGGATAAACTTAAAAGAATCTATCCGAACCAAGAGTACATAACCCCCCAGAGTGTGCAACTCCACTATGGGTGCTGTCCCGACAGAATTTCAAGTTGACGTCATTTTGATGATGCAATGCGCACTGTACACGGATTATCAGACGAATCCGGAACCTGTGGTTGACCGAAGCCGATCGATCCTGTACAAATTATTGCAAAGAAAAACGTGTGATGCGTTGACACCCGTACACATGTTGTAAATCACTGCTGCAAGGAGCATTGCGTCATAAATAATGACGTCAACTTGAAATTCTGTCGGGACAACAGGGTATGTGGGAGTTGCACACTCTGGGGGGTTATGTACTCTTGATCCGAACTCATTCTGAGAGGGCCTATGCAAAGAAATTGGAACATTCTCGAAATCTCATCTGGTTTAATTAAGCTTTGTAGCGAAAAGTTAAAAAAAGTAAATTATCGTGTCCGTTCCCGAAAGGAACTCACGATGGCCGCGCTAACACCCGGTAACCGCTAGCGACAGATTCAGCGCCTAACGGTGGGGTGAGTGGATAAGTCTCACAACCACTGCCGGCACTGGCACAAGTGCCGAGAAACCCAATTAGCCGCATCCATGTACCACTTGTGCCTGGCCACAAGTTCCCAGTTGACTGTGGTTGGCAGCGCGGCTAGAGGGACCGCTCCCGGGCGGGACTTGGACCAGGTACCTCTCGTATCGTGTCAAGAAAAGTGGAGGTTATTTCCGAATGAGCCGAAATCCGCGTCAAGCCCCGTCCCCAGCCCTACCAAATCACTGACACTCGACCCTTGTTGCTGCTCGTCTTCCTTTTCCCTAGCGCTATTCTCGGCTTTGCGGGCGGCCCTTGCTGTTTGTTGTTTCCTGTGTTCCTTCTTTCCCTGTTGTCATTCTCAGCTTTGCAAACGACCCTTTCTGTTTGCTGTGTTCCTTCTTTCCCTGTTTGCATTCTCAGCTTTGCAAACGACTACAAGCGAGAGCCGGGCCGTGGCTACGGTGGCAGTGTCATCGTTGTGTTCATGAAGCTCTTTGAGGACTCGTGTCGAGACTGTTACAAGCCGGCGCACGACCAGTTTGACGGCAGTGGTTCCTATGGCAACGGAGCGGCGATGCGCGTTGCCCCCGTGGCTCTGTTCTGTGACGACGAGCAGGAACTGGAGAGGGTGAGTGTAGGGGGGTTGTTGTTTGCTTTGGGGAAATGGGTACTAGGCGGGTAGCTTGTGTATAGTCGGTGCAGTCTGGTGGTCATCACACCAAACGAATGGCCACCGTAGGGCACTGCATAGTCCGAAATAATCAAAATGGCGACTATGAAGTTGCCGGTGGTACATGGTCACCACACCACAGATGTACTCTGGTACATGGTCGCCACACAGGTTCAAGGGACGAGATTTGAAAACCTGATCAAAACCTGGATTGAAATATTGAGCACCTAAACTTTCTGAAATTAGAGTATTTGCTTGAGAAAATGGCCCCGGGCTTGTGATGTGCTCAGGAGCTCAGGAGATGTCTTTTTTAGGCCGGGGTGAATTCCGTTAGGGCGGCGTCGGGTGAATGCTTCCTCTATCAGGGTATTCCCTAGGCATCTTGTGAGTTTCTTACAAGTTGCTCTGACCTTCATGCAAGTACCGTAGTGTCTAGTCTGACTCGCCCTGTAAACTTAGTGTCCATAAGCGGTTCCACTGACTCGCCCTGTAAACTTAGTGTCCATAAGCGATTCCGCTAGTTCTCCATCATGACATGCCTAAGCTCTATACAATGTATAACAAAGGAGAAGGATAAAATGGTATAAGTTATGACCAAATGTTACTTTGGTGGACAGTTAGTCATAACTCGTTACGATTTGTCCTTCTCCTTTTTTCCATGATTGCATTGGCTCACCATCCGAGTTCATCTACTGTAAAAAACCGGAAAATTTCTTTGGAGATTTATTTCGGTAAATTCGGTACAGGTCATTTTTACCTAAAATATAACGCACCAAAAATATACGTACATGACTGCGGTACGGATAACTGGATTACCGAAATGTTCGCGCTACCGAACCGTTGATTTTGGGAAATACCGAACATATTAACCCTCTCAGTACCAGTCATTCAAATATCGATGCAATAGGCGATCACTAAATATTTCGTCACACGCTCAAATATTGTCGTATTATTACAAATGAGGGCTCGACGTCTTCAGAAAGACATTGACTATCGACTGCAACTATCGCTTTCACTCCTTGGTGCATAATTGGCGCACGGCGAAGCTCGAAGCTAGTGCGCGATCAAAAATGCGCATTCAAACATTTTGAGTCGCCGTCACGCTGAGAATAACTCTGATATCTTCTCGCTTACCTATGTGTTTTGGGGCTGGAAATCCTTCGGGTTTTAGGTATTTTCACAAGAACTTCGTCTGGTTTCTATGAGCCACGATTTTTAAATCAGTGAGCCACTCGTGGCAGATCGCGCTGCGCATATTTGTTTGAGCTTGAAAAAGTCTTCTTCATCACGGCGCGGCACACACGAATGGCGCTTGGTGTTGTAGTTTCTATGGGTGCGTATAAAAGTCGTATTTTTGTAGACTGAATTGACTCAATTGCGAAAATAATGGGTAGTGAAAGGGTTAAGGATCTTTAGCAATGCAAAAGTTCGAAAGAAAATTCTCGAGTCTGGGAATGAATACAGAAAAAAAGCTCGAAACTTCGAAAACTTGGACGCGAAGTTGCAGTGATTTGCGAAAGTAACTTTCTCTTTTCTCGGTACGCATTTGACTACAGGGAGTAGTAATTTTACAGCCCCCTGCTTGAGACTGAGCTGCATTTACGGTACGGCACAATAAGATTCAAATAACTTCGAGAAAAAGTCATTTCGCATTGCTAAACCTCACAAGTTTTCTTTTTCGAAATAGATTTTCGCGAAATATCACCACCACCACCAAAAGTTGCGAATTTTCCCATTGCTGAACGTCCTTATTACACCAGCGAAATTTCCCCGTTTTACAGTATGCAACGTGTGTTGTTGTTTGTTTGTTGTCGTGTCGCCAGGTTGCCATGGAGCAGGCCATGCTAACACACGCGAATCCAGACGGCGTGTGCGGTGCCGTGTTGCAGGCCACCGCCGTGCACCACTGTCTCCATGCCGACCGCGGAAAGCCGTTCGACGTCGCCGCCTGCTTGCAGCGTCTCCGAGATGCGGTGGAGCGCTTTCCCCGGCAGCCGGCGGGGGCAGCTGCGGGAAGTAGGACAGCGTCAACAACGGCTACTGCCAGCCCTATCACGTGCGGAGGCTCCGACTCATTGGCAACGTTTCTGACTCAGTAAGTAGGGTAGGGATTTTTAAATACTGTAGTGTCTTGTATAAAAGCCTGTTTTGAATACAAGCCTGTTTTGAATACAAGCCTGTTTTGAATACTAGTACAAGCCTGATTTTTTTAAAGATACACTGTCAGCACATAGGCCTGGTTTAGTGTTGACGCACATAGAGATACGTGATTTGAATGGAAGCCTAGCACTGATATCGGCTTATACGGCCGTAAGCACCTGCTTTTATACGCGACATTACGGTATGTTACGGTTATTGGGAACTCGTGGTCTGGCACGAGGGAAGCATGGATGCAGCGAATGGGACTTTCGGTCTTTGACCACTTGGTGGTGGGTCTGATCTACTCACCTCCCACCGCTTTAGGAGCTACATCTGCACCTGAGATCTTTGCAGGATGGTGGCGTTCCTACGGGTGCTGAAAACTCAGTCTAACTCAGGGTGCGTTCTTAAATCCTCTCGGAAAAGTTGGAGACTCTCCGAAAAGTTTGAGAGCTGTTCTTATATCCTCTCCGAATTTTAGGAGGCTCTCCAAAGCTCTCCAAGCTCTCCAAGCTTCAGAGGTGGTTGAAACTTGGAGATTCCCGCGGTTTGGGATCAGCGCATGCGAACTAGGTTAAAAGCCACGTGTTGATCATGAGTGTACGCATTTCCCTTTTAGCATACGCACAGCGCATACTATATTCGTGGCACTCAAGATCGCGGCCCCTTTGGCGCTTCATTTTGCTTGATATCTGCAAAATATCTCCGAATTCTTCGAGACCCGTTCTTGAAGAATCCCAGTTTCTTCGACTTCTCTTTTCTTCTTCTCCTAGAAGCTAGAGAATTTAAGAACGCACCCTCAGTCTCAAGTGAACCGTGAAATTATTTATTTAGTTTTAATCATGATAGTGGCATGGTAGTGCAGTAAAACCTGTGACTAACGACCACCCCTTGGGGCCAGAGAAAGCGGTCTTTAGTGGCAGGTGGCCCTTAGTTAGAGGTTTGCACCGCACAGCCATGCGTGAATGTGAGACCGTCTGTGCGTGGCAAAGTGGTCTGTAGTACCAGGCCGGTCGCTAGTCACGGTGGTCTTTAGTTACAGGTTTTACTGTAGTTGGCAAAGTGGTTAGAGCATTGGCCTTCCAAACATGAGATTGTGGGGTACATGCACATTCCCAGCTCGAGCGAAAATTATTTCCACCTCCAGGAGACCCGTCTGTGATTGGGTACCAGACCTTGGTTGGGGAGGTAATGGCGATGAAGGAGAGGAGATGAGCATCGCCCTCACTATTTTAAACTCATTGAAACTTGAGGTCTCCTGCCGCTACGGTCAGAATTGACTGGCGTAGTGCAGCATGGCCTAAGAACATGACTGAGAAACGGAGGTTACCAGGTTCAAGTCCTGCTTGGAAGCGGCAGGGGTTTTAGCAGCGTTTGCGATATTCGGTTTTTGATGATCTCTTTGTGGTTTGTCTGATCGACTCACCTCCCACCGCTTTAGAAGCTGCATCTGCGCCTTTACCCTTGAAGGGTGATGATGTGCCTACTGATGTGCAGAAAACTCAGTCCAACTGAGTTTCACGCGAGCCATGAAACACTTTCAACCTGAACAGGACCAGGCACGGTGGACCAGGAGAGGCTTGAGCGTGTGACTGTCTATGTCCAATACTTGCGCCCAGTGACTGCAGAATCCATGCTAGGGCAACACTGCTACAAGTAGAATGTCAGTTTACACGTACGCTCTGGCCAGTGCAGCGAGAACACCTGCTTTCAAACACCAGGTTTCAGAGAGCACTGCGCCGTGTATAGTGGAACTTCCCTTATCCGGGCAGGTTGAACCAGGGCACTGCCATTAACTCAGTACATACAGTACAAGTACATGGACATACTTATTGCATGAAAGCAAGTGGTCTCTTTGCCGCAAATTTTATACCGTATTTCCCTGATTAAAAGTCGCACTCGATTATAAGTCCAGTGCTGCCAAACCGTCCGATTTTTCGGACAGTGTCCGATTTTTGAAGGCTCTTCCGAAAACCAGTCCGAAAAGGAAACGTCCGAAAAGCAGCCAAAATTATCAGGGATCAATACTTTCCTATGCAGAAGTCCTGTATTTTCACTTTTCAGCGCAACTGAAGGCACAAATCACTGTACATGTACCGGTACATGAAAAAAGGCTAGCGCTTGGCCGGCTGTGGAAGTGCAAACTACTTGAGAGTTGAGTAACATGCCTGGGTACATGACACTGTACAGTGTGTGACCACACTCAATGTGACTCATGCATTCATTACAAAATTCATGACAACTCCGGGGGTGCCATATCGGTTACCATGGCAACGGAGCGATTTTTCATGGTATTTTGGGCGATATTTTGAATTCTGGAAAAAATTGCCGAAGAGAAAAATTCGCGCCCAGCCTTGACGGTGACGGGTGTCCAATTTTGGGCGGAAATTATTTGGCAGCACTGTAAGTCGCACCCCCATTTTTTAGGTTTGAGCCGTATTATATTGACTTCGGTAGTAAGTCATGCTCAATTGTAAGTCGCACCCCCTTTTTTACCCTTGATATTTTGTGTAAAAAGGTGCGAATTATATTCGGGGAAATTCTATAATTATCTCAACCAAATTTGATCCTGATGATGCCTGCGGGACGAAAATTTGGTTGAGATAATACTTAATAGAGAGGTTCCGGGGAGTCAATAATAGCTTTTTTGGGGCCGTTTTCGTTGAATAGCCTTTTTTGTTGACTCTAGAGGGGGTCAGAAAGATGCCCGGCAGACGGACGTTCCCAGATTTGAGGATTTTTTTTAGTTTTTACTGAGTTTTAGGGTATTCACACACATGTGCAAACGTCATTCTCTTCTTATTACCGTCGTCCTTGTCTTTTCTTCTTTTTCTTGTGCAGACATTCTGACTACAGAGCAACTGTCGACAAGTACCTGAAGAAGCTTGATACGCTGTCCGTGCTATTGGCCAACCCGCACACGAATCAACAAGAGGTCATGGTGGAGCTGGGCAACGGCATCGCTGCCAGCGAGGCCGTGTTTGCCGCCATATTCTCCGCGCTGCGCACCCTACGCATGCTAAATGAGCCGGCACAGCCTAGCGCTGAGCAGCCAGCAGACCAGAAACCTGTCCCCGAGGGCGCTGCCGGTAAGGAGGGCAAGCCCAGCGCTGGAGAGTTCAGCGCCATGACGGAGACAATCGTCCACGCCATCTCTCTGGGCGGCGACACCGACACGATAGCGTGCATGGCCGGCGGCATCGTCGGCGCCTACTGCGGCGCCGGCGGCATCTCTCCGTCGTGGAAGCCCGTGTTGGAGAGCTACGCCACGGCCGTGTCCCTCGCCGACAAGCTGTGCGCCCGCCGTCATAAACTTCACCCGCAACCATGAGGCATGCGGGAGTAGATACTGTGAAACCGGGGAATTTTCCCTATTTCCCTAAATCAACGGTTCGGTAGCGCGCGAAAATTTCAGATCCAAAAATGCATTCTGCACTCTGTGTGGCATAGCTTTTCATTTTAGGTAGAAAAAGTACCTGCACCGGAAGTTTTCCGAAGATAAATCTCAACCGAAATTTCCCGGTTCTATAGTATAGCGCGTCGTCCGCAGCACTGGCACTTCTGAGAGTAGCCTGCAGGCGTGCAGTGCTGCTGCTTCCTGGCTGCCATCCTCTTCAACGTTCCAGGATTGCCCAACTCTCAATGACAGAAGTCGATACTGCCAGCAATGCACTGATTGTGAGCTAGCCTGCGGTATCGCGATAATGACATAGTGGATGATATTGGATGATTCGGCGTACGGTAACCACCAGCGTGGAGTGCACCGTGCATGAATTGCGATAGTTGTACTGGATTAATTCTCAACTGTCGGGCAGAACGAAAACAACAGATTAGTGAACGCAATGGCTCAGCGATAACGATGCGCTACTGTTAGGTATTATGACATCATCACAGGTGGACGATGAGTCGTCTCAACCGAATGACTACATGCATGTACCTCTATTCCTGCGGCTATTCTTGAAATCGTTTTAAACATTGTTTATTATTGTAGACTTTCGAACGGCTTAGGGCTGTCTTTTAGCCTTGTAAATTAGGACACCACTGACTTAGCTTTGGTATGCGTGTAGTAGAGTTGAGGATTTTCCACCGCACGTGATCTTTATTTTTATGGCTTCCTGGATATGTTTTTTGAACTCGGATGATGTGTGTAGTTTTTTTTTAGCTTTTAGCCAACGTGTGGTATTTCACCGTGATTGCTGCAAGAAGGAAGTCCCAGGAGCCTTGTGGTGACTATCTTCTGAGCTGAAGTGTTTTCTACAGCTCGGTCCTGCTTTCAAACTGTTTTAAATAGCTGGTCGTTTGCCTGCACTTGCTGCTGTCTGTGCCTTGGGTCACGGTGCTATGGTCCGTTGCTAGGCATTGCAATAATAACTGTGGCGATTCTTCTTCTCTTCCTAAGTTAGTTTCCGGCTTTATTTTATTGTGAAGCCGCTGGTCGGCTTGCTTGTTAAGTACAGGCACTGTTTTTTTTTTTAGAGTTTGCTGTTGAACTCTGATTGGAAGCTGCGACTTGCTTCTCCAAACTGGCAGGATCCAGATTTCAGTGTGGTTGGGCTGCCAAAGTTTGATCGTGCATGCGGATATTTGTTCTGCGATCACTGAGATATTGTATACACGGTCGCGCGCGTGATCATGTGTGGTGATTGAGGTCCCTCTACTTTGCAACGTGCGTGTACTGACAAGTCGTCCTCCTGCTCCCTCAACTGCACAGGAGTCCATGAGGGATGTGTGTGTGGGGTGAGGGGAGTTCAGGCATTGGCATGGAGTACGGTACGTCTGCTACGGCAGATAGAGACGCCACTAGCAAGCGTGGCCTATATATCGCGACATGTCTGTGCTCAGGCTCTTATCTGAATCACCTGACTGCTGAGCACAACAAAACCAGGACCAAGGCCAGGGATGCTAATTTCCAGTCAAATGACCCTGGTTAGTACTAGTACTAGTTAGCACTATTATGATTGTACTACAATGTCATGTTGTAGGCTAGGCCTAGCGCCTACATGTACTGTAGGGTAGTTATCGATGATCGATGGCGCGGGCGATCGATCATTTGCATCATGTGACGATACGAGTGAGTGTGGCATGCCAAAAAGTTGCCATAGCCAGTCAGAACTGTCACCATGGTCCATGGTCACTTGACGCAAGGGTAAAGGGTCCAGTTATGTACTACTACTAATACTAACGTGTTACTTATGGACTCTCGCTTGACGTGTGAGAAATATCATGCCAAAGAGCAACAAGTATTGCTGTTGTACTGTTACATCCACAGCCAAGTCCACAGCCAAACAATAAACAAACTGGAGTCAACAACTAAACTAACTTAAAACTGTCCTGTCTCAATGTGATTCCTCTACAAACAGAGCGTGTGTAGTCTGTAGATCTTTCCGCGAACACGGATCATCAGCCTCTGCAGCCACCTCCCGGCACTGGCTCCGGTTCCTGCAAATATCTAGATTTGAGTATTTCAAGTCAACCGGCACCGCTTTGAATCGCTCGCTGACACCACTTCCTGAAGTGAGGGGCCGGGTACTACTACGGGGTAGTGCGGTAGATGGATGGCGCACGATCGAAGTTACGACTATTCCTTCAAGCTGCTGGTGGTCGGGGACAGTGGTGTGGGCAAGACATGCATGATCCTGCGCCATGTCGAACAGCAGTTTGCTGCATCCTACATCTCCACCATTGGTAAGTGCTCACAGAGAGGATTTCCTGTTCGATGATCGCCGAGTATTTTTTTAATGAATCACGGTCGTTTATCATTGATAATTAGTAGCAAATCTATTGATTTGGCTGCTGACATGCGCCATGTGCGTGTGGAAACGGGATATCCGTTGTAGATCCTCCTTGTCCGTACTTCTGGACTGGTCACGTGGAGACTTGCAGCACGCTATAGCGTGTAGCGTACCGTTCAGGAAAAAACGAAGTAGTAGTTGGACTGAAATGTTTAGTAGGGCCAACTACAGTACAATACGAACCACATAACCGCCAGAAGTGGCCCGAATCGTCCTCGTCCTCGGGTACACGATCCACGTCACATTTGAGCACGAAAGCCGAGTACGATTCCAGTTCATTGGTTGCTACAGTGCAGTCGTGGCCGAAGAAATCCGACCCGCGAGTCGAAGGTAGCGCCCCGTTTCCATTTCAATTACATCACGCACGTACCGAAAACCGATCCGAGGGCGGGGGGGGGGGGGGGGGTGGGGGCTACATGCGCCTTGGCGCTGCTTTCAGCTCGTGGGTCAAATTTCTTTGGCCACGATTGTACAATGCTTGTAGTAGTGAGCACAGTCGCCATGGTGAACATGGCCGCCACCCTCGAGATCTTCACATGCTCAATACGGCTACAGTACAGGGATCATCAGGCACGATGCATGTGGCCAAGAGCTTGTATCATTACAGAAACTGTGGAAACAGACGTTACGGAGTAACATGTGGCGTAGCCAGGGTCCATACAGTACTGCCGGGTGCAGAAGAACGGACCGCTGAAGAACGGACCGCTGAAGAACGGACCGCTGAAGAACGGACCGCTGAAGAACGGACCGCTGAAGAACGGATCGCTGAAGAACGGATCGCTGAAGAACGGCCGGGCTAGAATTTAACCAATTTTTGGGAAGGGCGTAGGCTGGATTTTTTGCATAAGAATGAAAACCGTGATATACACTTAGTATAATGTACACTCAGACGTGTAACTCTGCATAAATGTACATGTAAGACTGTACCATCGAATAAGGATGAAACTGCTGTGTTGGCTAAAAACAAGAACGGGCTAGGCTAGAACCCTGCCCCCCCCCCCTTCTTCGGCGCCCGACAGTACTGTAGCGCTTTGTGCCCGAAGTAGGTACGTAGTACCGTGTAGCGTATCCGGGTCCGCAACCGTACTAGTTCACATAGTTAAAGGTGTGCACCGCCCATGTTCGCATATCTGTGACGTGACCGACTGTGACGGTGAATGCTGGCCGGTGCGGTTCATGCCTACCATGCGACTGTCCGACAGAACCCCCTCGCTATGCTCAATCTCATAGTAGACATAACTCTCGCCATCTCATAGCCCTGGCTATGCTCAATCTCATAGCCCCCTCAGTCCCTCACTCAATCTCATAACCTTCACTATGCTCAATATCCTAATCCTCGCTATGCTCAATGTCATAACCTTCACTATGCTCAATGTCCTAATCCTCGCTATGCTCAATGTCATAATCCTCGCTATGCTCAATCTCATAATCTTCACTATGCTTGATCTTTTTGATTGACTGATTACCGCAGCAGCTCAGATAGCTCAGCCGCCGAGTAAGTTTGTAGCGACCTCTCTGCCCTTGGGGGCCTAAAGGTTGTTACTATGATAACCCATAGAGTTTATGCCCCCAGTACCGTGATCATCAGTTGAGATGCTTTGTCGAAGTCGCTGCACAGCGCTGCACTTGCACTAATGACTCACGGCTACACTGCACCATAATTATATAGCGCGCAGAAGCGGCTCCGCGGTCTATTTGCCACCCATAAACGGATTCAAATTGGTTTAATGCTATTTTGCAGGTCGTGAATCGCGGCCTATGGCCTGCATCTGTTGCGGCTTCCTGTCGCCAAAATCAATGCTTTTACATTAAAAATGCCTGGCCATTGTTCGGCTTCATAAAATTAATGATAGAATAAGATCTGAGCAAAAGTGGCCCCATGCATCTGTTGTTTCTTTCTGAACTGACAGTCCAGCAGTGGTCATGAATGTTAGTGGCATTATTTACGATGCATGCCGAACCTCTTCATGTATTCTCCGGCCCATTGTGCGTGCGTGCGTGTGTGACTGCAGGTATTGATTCCAAGGTCAAGGTCATGAACTTGGACGGCCTGAAGATACGACTCCAAATATGGTAGGGCAAGCAAGCTGTGCAATCCTATAAAACTCCCAAGCAACAGAGATACAGTAGATACCATAGCGTAGTGGAAGAGCAGCGCTGGCCTCAAGCAAGAGTCCCTGGTTCGAGTCCTGGTGGTGACAGTCAATTTTTTTCTTCAGACTTTCCCGTTTTTATAAACTCCCTCAACCTTATGAATATGTAGCCTGTACCGTAGAACTCCAATGAGACATCCTCCCATGGGGGACCCGAAGGAAAGTGTAAGTTGTAGCCCTGGCACTTCTTATCCTGACGTATACGTAGTACTGTAGAGGCAGAGAATTTCGTCGGTCAAACATTTCGTCCAAGTCCTAAGAAAGGGAGTTCGTCCGGTTGAAAATTTCGTCCATGGATCATAAAAGTGTATAGAAAAGCTGGACAAATCGACATTAGTCCGGTGCTTAATTCAGTCCAAAGGTTCTTAGGACGAAAAAGACGAAATTAAATTCCAGACGAATATTTCTGCTTATACAGTATGGTATAGTTTAGTATAGTGTAGTATAGTGTGGTATAGTGTACATGTAGTATTGTGGTATAGTGTATAGTGTAGTATTGTGGTATAGTTTAGTATAGTGAATGTGTGCATGTGTGTGGTACTCAGTGGCCGAGGCTGGTTGGTAAACTAACCCCAATTTCTCTTCGGGGTACCAGTCACTGCATCTAGTGTCTGCTTCTATCGAAGCAGCATGCAGTCTATACTGGATACCCCAGCAAGTGTAGGGTGTGCATAGGTAACTGTCTTGGCCGTCCTTTTCCGATGTGCTCTGTGTGGTGTAGACCAGGTGTGCATTGGGGGTCGATTCACATGGCTTCGCCAGTTGTGTGGATTAGACAGGCATCTAGCGCTTGTCTTGATCTGTTTCATTCGGAATCATATCCGCTATCGCTGCTATAAGAAGAAATCTGTGGATGCACAACCAGGGCGTATACATGGTACATGGCGTGCGTATGTGTGCGTATGTGTGGGTGCGTGCGTGTGTAACATGTTGCGTTTGTGACACCGTTCGGATTATTCGAGTGGAACCGTATGCCGTTCGGCCTGTGTAACGCACCGGCAACTTTTCAACGCCTCATGAACCGGGTCCTTGGTGACCTAGTACCCAATATCTGTCTGGTCTACTTGGACGACATTATCGTGTTCTCATCAACGATTGAGGAACACATGAGTCGTCTGCAAACAATATTCAGTCGTCTTCGTCAAGCTGGCCTCAAGATCAAGCCCAAGAAGTGCTCACTGCTTCAGTCCTCAGTCACGTACCTGGGATTCTTATTCTCAGAGCAAGGTGTGGCACCGGACGCAAGCAAGTTCACGGCTGTTCAAGACTGGTCATCCCCAACATCACTGAAAGAGGTGCGTAGCTTTGTTGGTTTCGCATCGTACTATCGCCGCTTTGTGCCACATTTCTCAGAAATTGTAGAGCCCCTGAACCGTTTGTCCCAGAAGAATGCCACTTTCAACTGGACAGATGAGTGTGAACAGGCATTTGCTGAACTGAAGTCCCGACTAGTCAAGTCACCTGTTCTGACATATCCTGATCCTGCAAAGCGCTTCATCCTGGACACTGATGCGTCAGATCTCGCCATGGGAGCTGTTCTCTCGCAAGTCAATAGTCACGGTGAGGAAGTAGTGATTGCCTATGCCAGCAAAGCATTAACGAGATCCCAACGTAACATGGGCAGTACACGCAAGGAGCTGCTTGCTGTTGTCACATTTACTGCACATTTCCGCCATTACCTACTTGGAAATCAGTTCACATTGCGAACTGATCACAAAGCGCTCATCTGGCTACATTCGTTCCGGGAAGTGGACGGTCTTCTAGCCCGGTGGATTGAGCGTTTGGCCGTCTTCGACTACGTCGTCACACATCGGCCCGGGAAGCAGCATGTCAATGCAGACGCCTTGTCAAGACTCCGCTGCCACAGCCCGGCTACCGCAACCTCACCGACGCCAACGCCCGAGCAGAGAGTAAGTGAGCAGACTATTGTTGTCAATCACCTGTCTAGCGCTAGTCCTGATAGTAATCCTGTAACAGTCAATGCTGAAGTGTCGCCACCCAATTGGTGTGAGTCTTTCACTGTTGAAGAGTTGCGCAGAGCTCAATTAGAAGATGCAGATGTGAGTACGATGATTGGCTGGCAGGAGGCATTACTTGACAGGCCCCTGCGTAGTGATTCTGCCATGCACGGTGCGTCTATTGCATTGATACGATTATGGAGCCAGTGGAAGCGTCTTAGACTGGTTGATGGAGTGTTGTACCGGGTTTACCACCCCGAGAATAGCGACACACCGTACCTACAATTTGTTGTACCACAGTCTCTGCAATCCCGCATGCTTCAGTCTGTGCATGCTGATGTCTCTGGAAGCCACTTAGGTATTGAGCGAACACAAGACAAGCTTCGCAAGCGGTGTTATTGGCCCTTCATGTCGTCTGCAGTTAGTGATTTTTGCCAAGCATGTGATATTTGTGAGAGCCGCAAAGCACCGCTACCAAAGGCCAAAGCCCCGCTTGTCCAAGACCGCCCATCATTCCCGCTAGAGAAAGTTGCTATTGATATTATGGGCCCACTGCCTACTACGCCTAGCGGTAACAAGTATTTAGTCGTCATTTGTGACTATTTCACTAAGTGGCCAGAAGCGTTTCCTGTACCGAATATTACTGCTGAAACAATAGCACATGTCCTTGTTGACGGCTTCTTCTGTCGTTATGGTATTCCATACCAGCTGCACTCTGACCGTGGTGCGCAATTTGAGTCGAGGTTATTCCAGCAGATCTGTCAGTTGTTGGATATCAGAAAGTCACGTACAACAGCATACCGGCCCCAGAGTGACGGCTTAGTCGAGAGGATGAATCGCACACTGGAGCAAATGCTGGCTGCTCACGTCGACGACCACCACACCAATTGGGACCGTCATCTGCAACGTTGTCTGCTAGCCTACCAGTCTAGTGTGCACTCCTCGACCAAGGAGACGCCAGCGATGCTCATGTTAGGTCATGAAATACACCTGCCTGTTGATGTGATGTTTCAGTCACCAGACTCTGAGCGCTCCCATGTGAACACGTATGTTATCAACTTACGGCGCAATCTACAACGAGCGTTCACGCATGCCCGTGATGCTGGAGCAACAGCCCAACGACGGCAGAAGGCCCACGATGACAAGCACGCTAAACAACCGAAACTCAACGTTGGTGATATGGTTCGGTTGCATTCTCCTGCCGTCAAACCAGGTACGACTTCCAAGTTCCATCGACCTTGGAAAGGCCCATACACTGTGCTAGAACGTGTTGACGATGTAGTACTTCGGATAGCTGACAAATCCGGCACGACCCAGACTGTTCACGTTGACCGTCTGAAGGCTTGGACTGGCTCTGATCTGCCTGCAAGTGCCAATGAGCTCGTACCGAACTCGCCTCCGACTTCTATTGCCGACTACACGCCTGATGTTGAGTATAATGTGCAACCAGTACCAATCCCGGCTCCAGTGCCGGTGCCACCTGCACCAGTAGTTGCTGCTGCGCCGGTGCCGCCACCAGCCGCAGCACTGAATCATGCACCTGTGCCTGTTGTGCACCACTATGATCTGCGGAACCGTGCAAACATTCAGCCACCAGCAAGGTTTGCTCAGTGAGTGTCTATGACTGTACAGTGTGATTATTGAGAAATTGTACATTCTTAGTTCAGAAATACACATATTTCACACAGTCCTACCTGTTGTTAGGTTAGTATGAATAATGTCAAGCATTTCACTTGCTGTTTCACAGTCCACTTACATAGCATTAGTAGTTTCTAAACTTTCCATTATACCTCACACCGATTAACTACACTTGTACCATACTTGCGCCACACTATTAATTTTCACTTTCCAGTATTTAATTTCCTCATGTAGAAAGCTATCACGGATATGCTCTAAGCTTTGTAACTTTCGGTCACTATCGTTCCCTCTGTAACGAAGGGGGAGGTGTAACATGTTGCACATGTTCCGTTTGGCGTAGTAATATTTCCACTCTTGATTGTAGCTATGAATGTGACTCTACTTCATGACATGTATGCATACGTCATTCGTACACACTCACAGACACACACGCATGCGTATCCTTTCGTTGGCTCGCTCTGTTATGATGCTGGTTTTCCTTTTGCTTCGAGAGAATGTTTTGGACTTGAGAGTTGCAGTTTTGATCTCAACGTCTTGTCATGGTTGGAACTGGTGCCTGGCTGGGGGCTGGGGAGTTTATGCTCCTGTGAATGTAAGTTGTTGTGTATGCAAGTTAGTCATTATATATCTACTACACCGTTTGCTACTGACTGCGCATGCTCGCATATGGTTGTTGTTGTTACTTTACCTGACCAAGAGGAATGGCTTCCGAATTGCTAGTGTTTGTGTGTGTCAGTAAGAATGCATGAGTGAATGGAATGTTAGTCCGCAAGGGGACATAACAATTTGGCGACGAAGATAAAAGACGAAGATGTCGCGATCGAAGCTTGAAATATTTGAAAAAGGTGATTTTCGTGAGTATGTAGAGAGACTCACGTTTTATTTTATCGCCAACAGTATTGGACAAGTCGCAGCTGGGGCAACCGCGGACCAGGAGAGAGCGGCAGACACGCAAAAGGCAGCTGTCCTGATCAGTCAACTCTCTGCTGAGAACTACTCGATTCTGAAGAGTCTTTGCCTGCCGGACAAACCAGCGCAGAAAACGTTTGAGGAACTCGGAGAATTGCTTTCAGAGCACTTCAAGCCTAATGTCAGTGTGTTGGCGGCGACTCATAGATTCCAGAGGATTTGTCAAAAGGATGGAGAGTCAGCAACACAGTATGCAGCTAGACTAAAGCAAGCAGCCATGGACTGTAAGTTTCAGGCGTATTTGGACAGGGCACTCCGAGACCAGTTTGTCAGTGGGTTGAAGTCGATGAGTGTTACGAAGGAGATATTGTCGAAAGCAAAGGAGACCTCAAGTTTGGCGGACATGGTGACGATGGCATCAGCCTATGAAACTGCATCGAGAGAGTCGGAACAATTGACGGCGCAGTCCGTCCACGCCGTTCGTTCGCGCCAGTCGACGAGCAAGCCAACTCCAACTTTCAAGTCGCACGACAAGAAATGTTTTCGGTGTGACAAGGCTGGTCACAAACCGGAAGAGTGCCGCTTCAAGAGTGTGAAGTGTCACGCGTGTGGTACGGTGGGTCACATCGAGAGAGCTTGCCGCAAGAAGAAGTCTGGACAAACCGTCCATCACATCGCGGAAGAAATTGGTGAGTTCGTTCCATGTGCTAGTAAACCCGATGTCACCATGTATAGTGTAAATGCAATGGGGCGACTACCGTACACTGTATCATTAGATGTAATGGGTACCACTATCCAAATGGAGATTGATACAGGAAGTGCTGTCACGATTCTCAGCAGCGCAGATTTCTTGCAATGCAATGGTGTGCTGAGTAACCTGATGGAATCCAGTATCAACCTTGTGTCCTACTCTGGAGATGTGATTAATTGTCTCGGGGAAGCGGAAATGGAGTTCCGAATGGGCACACAATTGCACACACTATTGGTGAGGGTTACAAATGGAAACCGTCCATCTATTCTGGGCAGAGATGCAATGGCTTTGTTCAAACTCCCCTGGAAATCAATTTTCGAAGTGCACCAGGTCGAAAAGTCTGGCGCTAAATTCATTGAGAAATACCCAGGGTTGTTCGACACCTCAGAAGTGGGAAAGGTGAAAGGCGTGCAGGTGAAATTGCATGTGTCTGATGAGAGCCCTGTTTACCGAAAGGCCAGGCCGGTACCACTGTCAATTCGGGAGAGCTATGTTGAGGCTCTGAATAAATTGGAAGCAGATGGTATAATCGAGAAAGTCACGCATTCAGAATGGGCCTCCCCCACTGTCACGGTAGAGAAATCAGGAGGTGGGTTGAGAATCTGTGGTGACTACAGTGGCACTATCAATCTGCATTCTAAATGCGAGCAATACCCGCTACCCACTCTTGAGGAGCTATTGCACAAATTGGGCCCGGGGTCTAAATTCACGAAGCTGGATTTGTCGCAAGCCTACCACCAGCTAGAGATAGCACCTGAATGTCGGAAGTACACCACGATCAATACCATGCAGGGGTTGTATCAGTACAAACGACTCCCTTTTGGTTTTCACAGCGCCGTATCTATTTTCCAACGGGTAATGGAAGAAACCCTTAGCGATTTGCCAGGATGCGGGGGCTACATCGACGATGTGTTGTGTACTGGTCGTGATGAGGAGATCCATGAGAAAAATGTGGATCAAGTGCTATCTTGCCTAAATGAGAAAGGATTCAAGCTCAATCCTAAGAAGTTCAGCTACATGGCGGATAAGCTAACGTACCTCGGTCATCAGGTAACCGCGCAGGGAATCGCACCCTCGCCTGATCGAGTGAACGCCTTGAAAGTCGCAAAGCCGCCTAACAACGTGAATGAATTGTACTCTTTTCTGGGTGCGGCCAATTTTCAACGGAAATTTGTACCTCGGTTCGCAGAGATTGCTGCACCACTGTACAACCTGCTCAGGAAAGAAATGAAATGGCAATGGAGCAAGGCAGAGGAAGATGCATTCCAGGCCTTGAAAGATGCAATGTGTGAGCATACGCTATTAGCACACTACGATGTCAAGAAGCCAGTCACACTCCAGGTGGACGCTTCTCCAATGGGTCTAGGTGCCGTACTATTGCAAAGGCAAAAGAATGGTGATGTTTTGCCGGTTGCTTACGTGTCAAGGAAATTGACACCGGCTGAATCGCGTTATGCACAAATCGAACGGGAAGCCGTAGCTGTGGTTTTCGGTGTTACGAAGTTCCAGAAATACTTGCTAGGGCGCCACTTCACGCTTCAAACCGACCATCAACCACTATTGAAGTTACTGGGAAACAACGAACCAGTTCCTACACTTGCATCAGCTCGCATCAAGAAATGGGCACTAATGCTAGCCGGCTATGATTATGAGATCAAGTATTTGCCAGGCAAGGAAAATGTCTACGCGGATTTCCTGTCTAGGCAACCATGTGAGAATATCAGTCCGTCTGCAGAGGAAATGGTTACGGTTCGCGTCTTGCTAGTGGAGGAAGATACGATAATCAAAGCAGACGTAGTGAAATCGGAAACAGCTCGTGACCCTGAGCTATCTAAGGTGCTCTACTATGTGGTGAATGGTTGGCCTAGCTCAGTACCCCAATCGTTTCGGTCTTACCACAATAAGAGGGATGAGCTGTCTGCGGAAGATGGTATCCTATTGTGGGGACAACGAGTTGTCATACCCAAATCACTAAGAATGGTATTGCTACGTGATTTGCACACGGAGCACTTTGGCATGGTCAAAACCAAGCAAATGGCACGACGGTACTTATGGTGGCCAAATGTGGATCAAGAGATTGAAATGTTAATCAAGGCATGTGCTCAATGCCAAGAAAGTGCGAAATGTCCACCTGCCAAGTCGGGAACCTGGTCATGGCCAAACGGTCCTTGGAAACGGGTGCATATCGACTTTGCAGGACCATTCATGGGCAAGATGTTCCTGGTTGTGGTGGATGCATACACAAAGTATCTGGATGTAATTGCAATGTCTAATGCCACATCTGCAACCACTATTGCGGCTCTGCGGCACGTGTTCTCTGTGTTTGGTCTGCCGGAGCATCTTGTTTCAGATAATGGAACCCAATTCGCGAGCGAGGAATTCAAGGCTTTCCTCCGTGCCAACGACATTGTGCACACCCTGACGGCTCCAGGCCATCCGGCTACGAATGGACTTGCTGAGCGCTATGTGGGTGTGTTTAAGCAGAAGTTGAAGGAAATGGGTGCAACGAGCGAACCACTGCAAGCTCGGCTCGACAGGTTTCTGCTAACGTACCGCACGACACCCAACCATGCCGGCAGAACACCTGCGGAGATGATGTTTGGACGCCAGCCACGCACGCGGCTCAGTGCTCTGCGTCCCTCGCAGGTACGTCAACAAGCAAAGGCTTATGAGGACGGCAATCGCGTCAAGCCAGCGTTCACAGAGAGTGACTCTGTGTTTGCGCTGAATTTCGGCAAAGGTAATCGTTGGGTCCCGGGACGAATTGTGCGTGTCCTCAGTGACTACAACTATGAAGTACAAGTGGGTGATGTGTTGTGGAAGCGTCACCGAGATCAGTTGCGTCTACGGTCAGTTCCGGCAAGCTTGAGTGCATCGCTGCCAGAACCACTGTTGGATACAATCGATCAGACGTCACCGTCACCAGTGCTGTCAGACGTAGGAGAGTCGTCACTGTCCAGTGATTTTCCGGCTAGCGTCTCGCCACAGTCTGCTACTGTACAAGTTGAGGCGGATCCTCCTTGTGAGCAGTCTGCTCCTGAAGTTGGTTTACCACAGGTCGAGAATACTCCCTGTGAAACCACTGTTAGACGTTCGTCTCGGCGTAGTGTTCGTCCGGATAGACTGATTGAACAGCTTTGAGCCGTTCCCTGATGTCATTGCTGGACTGTTTAGCGAACTAGTAATTATTACCATGTACAATAGTGTGCAAGATCCTTGGTATTGCTAATATTGACTGACGGATTCCTGCGTCAGATTATGTTATTGTAGTGCTGTGTCAAAGTTTAAGAATTCACGTACGGTGGATTGATGAACTTATTTTATGTGTTTCTTCAACGATTTTTGAGGTATTTAATTGTGGTAGAATATTCCCTGGAACATTCTTGAAAGGGGGCAGTTGTTGTGTATGCAAGTTAGTCATTATATATCTACTACACCGTTTGCTACTGACTGCGCATGCTCGCATATGGTTGTTGTTGTTACTTTACCTGACCAAGAGGAATGGCTTCCGAATTGCTAGTGTTTGTGTGTGTCAGTAAGAATGCATGAGTGAATGGAATGTTAGTCCGCAAGGGGACATAACATAATTGTAACCTCAGGCCAAGGTTACACGTGCATGCGTGCGTGTGTGTATGTGTGCGTATGTGTGGGTGTGTGCATGCGTGTGTGTATGTGTGTGTGTGTGTACGTGTTACTGTGGTCACAGGGATACGGCTGGGCAGGAGAGGTTCAGGACGCTGACTAGCGCATACTACCGAGGCGCAATGGTGAGAGAGGTCTTAAGCTGAGCTACAGTTGCAACCCTACTAGTATCTATTTCTCTATTTTTCTTGTCTATCGTGCTTTGCTCCTCCCGACCTCAGCACTGGCGGCGGGGGGGGGGGGGGGGGGGGGGAGACTGTAGTGACCTGACACTTACGTCACACTCTCATTAATCATTATAGGCGTGCGCAAGAAAAATAAATCGTTTTCTTTGGCCTCACCTTCTTTGTCGTTTGGCTGGCCATTTCAGCCGTCATCGTGGAGCCAATGTGAACCCTAAATATTGTATGACTCACTGCTGATCACACACTGCCACCCAATGCCTGATAATATCCTAATGATCAATCATGATCCCAACCTCGGCACTACTTCCCTCCGCTTTGACTGCAACCTACCCCCCCCCCCCCCCCCCCCCCCACACACACACACACAGCACAGTGCCGTACCATCTGTCTTCCCCCCACCCCACAGCACAGCTAAATTAGAACAGCAACTGGTTTTCATGGATAGATGTCGAATCTTACATGTCATTAAAATGCACTGTTTTTTTTGTGTTCTGTTTCGTTTTGTTTGTGTTTTGCTACCTAGGGTGTGTTATTACTATATGACATGACAAACAGCAAGACGTTTGACAATGTGCGCGACTGGCTGCAGAATATCGATGATGTAAGCGTGGGCATCCTGTTCCCTGTCTCTGCAATGTGGTTCAAGTCCCCGGCGGATATGGCAAATGCAGCTGGGTTACGCTAAGCTAGCTCAATGTGTGTACATGTCTACTAGGTTTCGGTGTGATGCCTTTAGCCAAGCAGTATGTTTAGAGCCCAAGGGTGTCATCGATTGGCGAATCTCGTCTTAGTGGCGGTGTGGTGCGAGCAACACTCGCCCATCAAACAAAGTAGAGGTGTAGTACGCCTATGGCACACAATTCATACAAAGATTCTGTGAAAGCTGTAAAAAAACGTCAAAGTCCATTTCCACTCCAGCCACTCGTGGTGTGTGGGCTGCCGGTGTAGGTAGATTGCACTGCAAGTACACCTACTCCGGATTTGGCCAAACGATCACGCTTCTAGACAGCACAACTGGATTTTGTTGGGCTTTGGTTTACCAACGTGTATAGCCGATTGGTTTGTAGTCTTGCCAGCGAATCATGAGGTTCCGAGTTTAAACCCTGCGCTGGTAACAGGGAGTGTGTTTTGTGCTCTCTCAATCGCGGTGATGCGGGCGAGTACAACTTTACATGCAATGAACTGTGCCGACACCCACGGTGAACTGGGTACTCACTTGCTCGGTGTGAGGGTAACTAACAAGGATGCGGTTTATGGGGTTACAGGGCCTTTACACGCCCGCTTGTTGAGAGACTTATCCCCTCTCCCCTGACTCACTTGTGAGGTCTGCATTCGACACTGAGGATATATGGGCGAAGTGATGGCCCGCCGATGCGAATGTCTTTGCTTGATGTGTTCCTAAACACATCAGTTGATGCAGCCGCGAATCCGGCTAACTTCACTTTGTTTGGTTTACCAGGTGTTGAATGTGTAGTGTATCGCTAAAACAGGACATACCCAATATCTGATGCCTGCATAACGTGCCCACACGCTATGGCTGCGGCGCAGTACCGGCATGCCGGCCGTGGTCTACGTACAGCTAGCATGCGCACTTCTAAACACTAAGCACTGCTGGCCGGTCCGCGGTGTGTGACATGTGACATCATGTGACATGTGACATGTGACATGTGACATGTGACATCATGCATACACCACAGGTATCTACTGTAAACCGTGAAATTATTGCCATGGTCTAATTTCTGCGAAATTCGCGACCGCGTGGAAATCGCGAAATTTAGACAGCGCGAAAAGGAGATCCATGAAAGGTTTAGCAAGAATGCCACGGGTTTAGCAAGAATGCCATTCTGCAATCGCAAAATTAAAACCTCGCAAACCTGTCCGGATTCTGAAAACGCGAACTAAAAACGCCGCGAAAATTTCACGCTTTACAGTACAGTTCGTCCCGTGACCGATGGCAGCTGAAAATACTCGCACCAGTAAATGGTGAACCAAGCAGCTTAGGGAGCATCTCATAAGTTCGCATTTTGTTTCTAAACGTAACGCATTTCGAAACGGGGGTAGGGGGTTCGCACATTTTCTGGAACTGTACAATCTACTGTACTACTAGTGCTAGATCCCTGCAGCAAATGAGTGTGTTTAGGTGGAGATCTACCTGTGTTTGCAGATCAGCTACATGCATGCAGGCTACTCAGAGGTGTCAAATGTCACACCAGCCTGATCAAAC